GGCAGCACCTAAGAACAACAACAGACCTCCCCCGACTCACAGGACAGATGAGGCGATTAGGGTGAACTAACATGCAATCGAACATATTACAGGGTTCAAAGGAGGGAGTACTCCTGTGGGCAAGTGGGTGTTTGAAGAAGGGGGATGAACTGAGGGTGAGACGTGGGGAGAGAAGCTAAAGATTGCAGGGGCCTCTGCCTCCAGCCAGTCCTGCTAATTCAGTCCTTCAACAGGTATTTAGGCCTACTCCATGCAGGCCCCTTGTCCTGTCTGTGATGCAGAGCCCTCAGACCTTCAGCACTTGGCCACACCTGCAGTCAATCTTTGCAGAATGCTCAGTGTGTGCCAGGAGCTGCATCAGGCCCCGGGGACTCATCAATAGGAAGAGCAGACATTTTTGCCCGTCGTCTTCACGTTGCTGTGCACATGCCGTGGTGACCTTAAGTTACAATTACCATCCAACACAGCGTGCCATTTTATATTCTGATTTTTCACACAACAAGGACAGAGTAGGGCTGCTCCTGTAGGCTTCTGAGACTGTAACCCTTTACTGGAGCAGAGAACCTCCTCTTTCTTCCACAGAGCAGCTAGTCGTTTTGAACTGCTGAACTTGTGGTTAGTAGCCCAATGCATACCCACTATGCCACCAGAGCTCCTCACATTTAGTATAGTGCCTAGTATACTAATAAGGGCTTACTAAACGTTAGCTGTTACTATTATCATAGTAATGGTTATTATTATATGAAAAGCCGGCCGTCAGTGAATATTGGTGTGGCCATCTCCTTTATCTCTACCTTCTACTAATGAGAAATATCCCAGAACTGGATTACTCTTGGTCAAGGATAATTCCATATTGCCATATTGGTCACCAAAAGGATTGTATTCACTTCACACTGCCACTAACAATATGTTGAGTCAGTCAGGTTCACGCCAACCCTCACCAACAGTTTGTCCTGGTATTGTTATAGGGACAACATGCTATCTTGATGTGATTTTAATTTTCACTTCCTTATTACTCGGATGGTGAATATTTTTTCCATATTTTTTGCTTACTGTCCAGATATCTTCCAGGGTGAATGATTTATTCCTATGTTTTGCCTATTTATCAGCTAGAATCTTCGGTGTTTTTCAGGGAAATTTGAATAACCTATGTGTTAGAAATATTAATGATGCACACATTTTCCCAGTTAGCTGGAGTCAGAAAGGCCTGGTATAAATGAGGGACCACCAAGATCAGGTTCTGCGTGTTCAGGAGCATGTCTGTGAGTGGGCCGCTGATTCCTGAAATGGTAAACCCAACCACAGCTCTCAGCTGTAGCATTGATCCCTGGGTTGCTCCAACTCTTACCGGTCTATACTTCTGATGAACTATATACTCTTAGTTGTTTCGTAGACACCTCAAGTGTAGTCCAGATGAATGGAACTCACTCATCACCTCTCAGTCAACTAACTTTCCACTTGACTTCCATAGGCTCCTTGCTGTCGAGAGAGTTCCCAACATGGAGAAAAGGTCTCCCAGCAGCTCCCAGACAGGCTTCCTGCTCCTCTTGACCTAGAAGTCATGTGTCCTAATTTTTGATTTGGAAAATATGATCACATATATCAGGAAAATGAATGAAGACGCGGCCAGGTTGACATGCCTCTCGGGCCTGTTTTTGCATGCCAGCATCTGCTGTTGGAGCATGTGCATATAAGCCTTGAGCAGATAAACAGAAGAGTCCCATGGAGATCACCATCCAGTAGTTGAGTAGTTGATACAGGGAACTGGGATATTAGACAAGGGAAAAGAAAGTACTAGAAATCCTTGACTTGGCTATCTGTCCCAAATATCTATTTTTCTTATTTTTAAAAATGTTGTGAAAAAAAAAAATGTTGTGATGTTTTCAAATTATCTTAATATTGTGGCTCTTTCTGTTGATGCTTCAGTTAAGATGTGAGCACTATGAAATCAGAAACTATGTTTTAGTCTTCCTTTAAATGCCTAGTCCAGTGGTCTTTGGCACCTATGTACAGACTGAAACACAAACACATGAGCAAAACTCCACCACCATGGAGTCAATTCTGACTCGCACTGACCTTATAGAACAGAGTAAAATTGCCCCTTAGGGGTTCCAAGACTGTAAATCTTTATAAAGCAGAAAGCCTCATCTTTCTCCAAAAGAGCAGCTAGTGGGTTCAAACTGCTAACTTTATGGTTAGCAATCTAATGCTTTAACCTACAACAACAAGGGGCTCCTTTATGTCTAGATCAAATCCCTTGAAAACCAGCTGACATGGGCAGCATGAGCTGCTATCGAGGAAACACAGTAAGGCATCCATCAGATCAAATATAAAATGCAAAAATGTCCTTGAATGGAAGAAAATTCAAAGAAGTTTTAGTACTTTTTCCTAGAGACGTCCCACTGATAATGTCCCAATTCTCTGCCCCCATATTTCCTCCAAATAAACTGTGGATCATTTAAGAAGCCCCTTCCCCTGCCACCTCTAGTGAGATAAGAGACACTTCCAGTAACACACACTCAGAGCAACAGTTTCTCAGTCCTTCTGGAATATGTGCTAAAGCCAAGCGCCCTGCAGGGCTACAGTTCTCCTTTCCAGAGCTAGGTGTGCCTGGGCTGTGGTATACATACTTATGCTGTGGGTGCATGCCCACGTGAATGTGCGTGGACATGTACACACATGGGTGGGAACATACTGTGTTCAGGAGAGTATACTTTCACACTATTGGTGGTGGAAGGGATGTGTGGTGGCGGGATGATTTTCTGACAACCAGAGTTAAGGATACGAAGCCACCTCCAGGGTTCAAATAGTGGATCATCCATGCAGGAGAAAATGAGCCTCAAACCCACCCCAGCCCAGCCCACTACTGTGGAGTCCATTCCCACTCACCGACCCTATGGGACATGCGTACCTGCCCCTGCTAGGGCTCCCGATAATCTGAACCTCCACCAGAAAGGAACAGAGAGCGTCTTCGTTCCCCCCACCCCCACCCCCCCACGCGTGGCTGGTGAATTTGACCTGCCAACTTTGTGGTCAGTAGCCTAATGCTTAACCCACAGGGCTTCTTGCTTTAGGCCCTGGCCATTCTAATTTCTTCTACAACAGCCAGTTAAGGTTTCCCTATTTGACAAGGGTGCTGGGGGGTTATTTGGTGGGGTATCTGGAAGACGGCGGGAGCTCACATTGACAAACTGCTGCTCACAGATAAAATGGCTCCCTAAATCCAATCAAGAGTCCTCGTGGCTGGTACAGATAGGAACTGGAAACACAGCGAATCCAGGACAGAGGAACCCCTCAGGACCAGTGGTGAGAGTAGAGATACCTGGAGGGTGGAGAGAAGGTGAGGGAGAAAGGGGGAACTGATTATAAGGATCTACATATAACCTCCTCCCTGAGGGACGGACAGTGGAGAAGTGGGTGAAGGGAGACATGGGACAGTGTAAGATATGACAAAGTAATAATAATTTATAAATTATCAAGGGTTCATGGGGGAGGGGGAGCGGGGAGGGAGGGGAAAATGAGGAGCTGATATCAAGGGCTCAAGTAGAAATCAAATGTTTTGAGAATGATGAGGGAAACAAATGTACAAAAGTGCTTGACACAATGGATGTATGTGTGGATTGTGATAAGAGTTGTACAAGCCCCCAATAAAATGATTTAATTTTTTTTTTGAAGAGTCGTGGTGGCATAGTGGTTGCTCTGTGAGGGAGAAAGATGAGGCTTTCCACTCTAGTAAAATGGTAACGAATTACAGTCTGGGAAACCCACAGTTCTACCCTGTCCTATAGAGTTGCTGGAGCTGAAATCAACCGATGGCAGGGGGTTCTTGTTTGCTTTTGAAATTCCAATCATTGCCACTCTTTGGGGCCTGAGGGTGATGATCTGAATTTCTTCCACCGGCACCTGGAGAAGGCGGCACCACTTTGCTCCAGTGGACACCGACTCCTGGTGGCCCCAGGGGACGCAGTAGAACTGTGTGCTGCGCACGATTTTTAATCACTGATTTTTCACACGTAGATGGTTAGTTGTGAGTGGACTCAGCCCCCACTCTTTGGTTTAGCAGGCAAGTACCTGAACCCCAGGCACCACCCAAGGACCCCAGAGAAGTCCCGCAGAGGGTCCTTCCAGGACTGAAGGGAGGACTTATCTCAGGCTGGCTCAGCAGGAAGACTGGTTAATGTACACCCCGGGTAATTATTGCTCTCTGGAGTTCATTCACTAGTATCCAATTCCCCACTGTGAGGTAAGATCAAGGTGACATTCCACAGAAACTTCCTTCTCAACCCATGACACAGAAAAAGTCCCACCCATTCCAGCTACCGTGCGGGTCCAGCCCAGCCCGATCCACCGCTGTTTGACTGGTTCATCCAACTGCCACCCTTGAGGTGGGAACTTTCCTTGTCGGTGGCATCGGGTGGCGAAGGTTTTCTCCCAGGTGCTTTGGGGCCCAGGGGGCGTGGAGGCCCCAGAAGCGTGGGAACGCACGTGAGAGGGCGCGGGTGGCAGTCAGACTCTTTCGGGTAGTGCCCCCACCCTGCTTCCCCTGCCCTCTTGGCCCAAGCCCAGGTCCGCTGAGTACGGTGAGGGCGGCGCCACGTGGACTCCTACCCTGCTGGGACCCTGCGGGGACCCTGCGCAAGCCATCGTCTCCCACGTGTCCCGACCGGGGTGGTGCACCTGCAGCGCGGGACACCGCGGGGAGCGCAGACCTTAGCCAGGGGCACCCTCCCTTTGGGGAACCTGCGAGTCCCAGCTTGATCCCAGGAGGATGGCGATTTGGAAGGAGCAGTAGACACCCAACTCTTTAGGGAGAAACGAATTTGCCCCATAGGGACCCCGAGAGTCCGCAGGGAGCTCGGCCCGCTCCAGAGCTTCTCAGCACCCCACCAGGTGCGGCCCCAGGGCTCCGGCTCCACCTGCCAAGCCCGGCTCCAGGGAAGCCTGGGACCCCAAGGTCGCTGGGGAGCCCGGGCACAGAGAGAAGAGAAAGGAATTAGTACCTGATCCTCTCCTTCTCTGCCCTTCGCAGCTCCTCGTTTCTCTCCAGCACTTGCAAGATCTTCCTGGCTTCGTCGTCATTTAAGAAGCTGACATCAAATCCCTGCGGAACGTCCGTCATTTTCCCTACGGCGTGTGAGTTACACTTGGGCTCGCGGGCGCCTCGGGTTACCACGGCATTTCTCAAGCTGGAGAAAACGAGTCTCACACACCGGATCCCATAGCCAATAATAGGTCCGCCCCTTTGAAAGTCTCAAACCACAACCCTAAGGTACGGCCCACACCTACCGGGCTCGCTTTGACAACTCCTTAATGACATGATTCTCTCCACCTGGCCAACCCAGATGCAAAATCCAGGACTAAAGGCAGAGAGGGAGCCAATCGCATTGCAAAGGGGCGGGTTTCCCGCGTCCGCTCCCCTCCTC